CCTCCAGGAAACCAGTGCTTCAATTTAAGTTGGGGTTGTAATGCTGATTATCTTGCGGAATAATCCGATAAGATTTTGAAAACGGCAGGATCTCGGCTTTTGAATGTACTTCATTGCAACCTCCTGTGGAAACCGTACTCGGCATGAATGGCTACTTGAATAGCCTGCACATTCCGCATTGATTTTTGATGATCTTATAAATTCAAATATATTTCACAAAAGCTCGAGCCAAAATATGCTTTCTTCCAGTCGTTTGATAGAGCATCCCATCGACGTCATACTTTGCATTCGAAGAAGGATTATAATAAGGTTTCAAAAAGTTTCTAATTATAAGATTTTTTAAAGCCATTGCAATGTCCAATTATACAGAATCATACCTGTCCGTCTGCCAATGTCCCTCATGAAATGTGCAACATAGGCCGCGACTATTGCAAAATTTTATGGATTCTATATGGTATCTTTTTAAAGACATGGAAAAATATATGAATTTCCTTACGCAGAATGCATGCACTTGTAGACTGGAATCCGTATGCTCTAATGCAACGACTGCACATGCTGCGAATTATTCGCGAATCCGAGGACGTTTAGATACGTAATTACATTCCATCGAGTACAAAATTTGAAGATGGCGCGATTAAATATTAAACGAATAAATGAAAGTGAGTATTTTGCCCATGTTTTTATGAAATATATTTGAACTTATAAGGCCAACAAAATCAATGTGGAAAATGCCTTTCAGTCAAGTAACCTTTCTTACCGAGTACGGTTTCCACAGGAGATTGCAACGAACTACATTTAAAAGCCAATATCCTGCCAAGTTCGAAATGTTATCGGATTATGCCGCCAGAAAACAGCATGACAACACCATCTAAGAAATCCTTCCTAATCAAAAACGCAATTCAGTATCTCGGTCAACATTTCATGGTATCCGTCAGGACTGTAATTGATGTTGGTTGATTACTGCAAAACATGTGGCGGTATATCGGCTGTCATCTTGCGAAAAATTGCAAATTACGGTGCTGGAAATCCACCCATTTCAGCTTGCTCTGAAAATATTTCAATAACAAGGCTCTTAGAATGTGATTACACCGGCAGATCATAGGATCATTAAATTACAGCTGGTCTTTTAATAATGTCATATGAGTAATTGCAGATAAACGTTTCTGGAATTTGGCGATCATAGAAAAGAACTGTATAAAGATTACCTTCGTTCAGTGTTGGAGTCCTTTGGATATCAGTGGAATCGTCCACTCGCAATTCCGTGTTTAATTCGTTCCCGGTGGGTTAGGGCGACGCTGATGGCGCTGGACCTGCAGGAGTAGGAGGGCAGCATATTCAGTCTGAGGTTATTTGCATGTCATTATCATCAGGGATGAGTGGTCCATATATGATGGATTATGATTACTTAAAAATCTTGTTTAAATGTTACTGTCACCGTTGTATATAGGCCTCCAAATCAACATGTCGACGAAGATCCACCGCTAGACACCCGATTGCGCGAGGACGGTCGAAAGTACAACATTATTAATGTAGGAGATTTCAATGCTCGGTGGATTAACTGTAACTTTATGACAGTTTTGTGCCAGAGACAGGATTCAGCCAAATGCTCTTGTACATGGCACTTGTTGAATTTTTGTTTCAACACCAACGAACTGTGTCCCCCAGATGCGTGAATGCCAAGGAGCTAGTTGCCTACACCTTCTTTTTGCAAAGAACGAGGAGAGCCTTGATGAAATAAATGCAGGTCAGCCCCTTGGTTCATGTGATCTAATGACATTTATGTGGGAGTCGACACTCGTAGCTGCCCCGAACGAGGCGGCTCAAAGGAGATTATGGTTAGGGGGTTAGTGTTGTGTTAGGCTAAGGAGGCTAGGTCGATAGTTAGGGGTTAGGAGTTGTAGCTAAGCATTAGGTTTAGGGGTTAGTTTTAGGGGCTAGGGTTAGAGCTTTGGCTTATCGGTTAGGACAACTGCATTACAGTCACACAGTGTATAACCGCGCATTCTCAATAACTTTTCATTCGCTCTCAATTACTGGACCTCGTCGCCTGTGTGCTATCCGGCCCCATATGTACAAATCCCCTATTACCACCGGTCCCGTATCACAGTTGGCTGGGGCTTCTTTACATCAGGTGCGTCTGCATAAACAGAGTTGAGCGAAAATTGGAACGAAGCAATTGCAGTGCTCATGCGTGTACCCCGCATATATAAACTGACACCATCACAGTATCCGGTCTCTCCAATAAATAAATCGTCCTCAGATAATTAACCATACAAGCCTTCCTTCAAATCATTTGATAGAGATCTGCAATTTCCTATGCTTCTTTAATTTTGCAAGGCCACAAACAACATCGCTGCTGAAGAGCAGGTGGAAAATTAAGTGACGAAATTTGTGGATGTGGAGACAGAAATAATAGGAATACCTTTGTCCAATGAGGACTCAACATGAGAATCTGTAACATCATCTCGTATGACATCTGTACGCAGTGCTTCCTCGGGCAT